GCCGACCACAGTAGAGATCCAGCCCGGGGACCCGCGGTGGACGAGAGCGCCCGCGACCGAGGCGGCGCGCGGACCGAGCGCTCTCCCGCGCCCACCGCGCAGCTCCCTGGACAGAGGCACTATCACCCTCGCCATACAGGCGCATCGGAGCAGGATGCACTCAACCTGTTGACCTGTCCGGAGGGGGGTGGCCCCATGTACAAAGTCTGGCTGGGCACGGTGGACCTGGAACGCCCCAACGAGACACCTGCCAGACGCACAGCCAGACATCAGTCGGAGTTGGGCGCAGTCTTCTGCGCGCTGTGGACCGCGCACACGCAGCGAACTTGGCTCCCTGGATCCAGGGCGCCCAAATCCGACCCGAAATTGCACGCGGCCACGTCCATCAATAAGTTTCTCGATGACTGGAAGGACTGCGGGTACGACGCCTACCTGATGAACACGAGGCTGGGCTACGGCATTGACTGGGACAGGCTGCGAGCCGACTACCTGCGACACTCCCGTACCGACGGCAGGGGCAAAGGCAGCTACCAGCAGACCAGCTGGCGAGACCGCGCGACAAGCTCCTGGGACACCTGGGGCAGCTGGCAGGGCGAGTGGAGTGATGGATGGCGCGAAGATCGCTGGCAGACGGGCGGCAAACGCGGACGATAGAGACGAAAAGAGGCTCCGATGGAGGGACTGAGCTCACTCCCCACTCCCAGCGCCATGCGCCACCACGACAACCTCGCTACACACTGCGTGCGGCCTTCAGCCGCTTTCTTCCTCTCCAACCGCGGGGCAGCCCGACTGCCCCCCCCCCCTGGGCGGCACTCTTCCTACCTTTGGACCATGGTGTGCCGCATAGTAATACTATCTGCACCACTGCGTGACAGTGCGCAGCTTGCAGACCCTAGCTGGCCCCTGGCCCTGCTGCACTTGCTCTTACCAGTGGCCGCTGAATCCTGGCCGTAGGGGTCACGTTGTCCACTCTTGCTGTGTTTCGCACCCTGGAGTTCCCCCTGGCGCACTCTTGAGCCGCGCTGCGGGCCCCGCTCGCTTGCGGCGTTCCGCCGCCCTCCCCCCGACGCGCGCACCTCCTGCCTTTGGATTCAGGTGTGCGTGTCGGTAATACCGTCCACTCAGCTCACTACCGCAAGTGGACCTGTGGCCACCGGCCTTACTGTAGATGTTTTCACCCGCCAGGCGCGGCCTGGCGCGCGACTGTGGGCCCTGGCGGTTTCGCCTGTCCATAGAGTCGTCACTCCCTGGATTTCTCAACCTTTTAACGGCCTTCAGCCGTGCCCCTGGAACGAAGTGACTCTGAGGGACGCGTTTTGGGTATACGACGGTCCCGTCCCTCGGGTGCTACCCTACACGCGTATGTGTGGCGCTGAGTCACTTTGGTGGTGCACTTTCAGCTATCACGTGTTTCTACCGTGTGGCTTTGTGCACGTTGCTGTGCTCTTACCAGTCGCTGGCCCAAGGGCTTAGGCGCATCTCAGTTGTGGAAAGTTCTTTCCCTGGCTACTCTGTTTCCACACCCTGTGTGCGTGTTCTGACGTCGCGATGGTCCGCCTCCGCCGTCAGGGTTTCCCCGCTGGACTGTGTCGCCAGTCAGTCTGTGCCTACCCGTCAGACTCCCTGGATTGACGTCTCGCTCGGGACCGTTTCCTACCCGTTCGTATTCGAACTGTTGGGAACGCCTGAAGCGCCATTTTGGCTGCGCTCTGCTTCCTCGGTGCCTGTGGTCAGACCCCCTGGTTGCGCCGTTGCATGTTCCTTTCAGGGGCTGCACTGCAGACTCCCTGGATATGCACGCCTTGGCTCAGACGCCCTGGGTCGCTGCTGCCTGCCGCCTGACCGCGGCCCCGCGCGCGCCCGCCCCCTAGTCGCGGCCGCAGCCCGACCGTGACCGCCTGCCGCTGCCGCTGGCGCTTCCGCCTGCGCCAGCCCTCGTCAGTACGTTGCATCGTTGTGCCCCCGAACAGCGTGATTCGGATACGATGTAAGCGCACAGGCTACCGGCTGGAGGTTGCTCAGCCTCGTGAGCGCACACCAGTGGTCTGCCTCTTACTGGATGGCGCTCTGACGCGGATCAGCCACACCTCAGCTTCAGTGAGCCTTGGTGATTCGGGTCACCCTCGCCGCACCATCGTATGCTCGTGGAGCTGCCGTGAGTCTGAGTTAGTTGCTCTCGCTCGCGCTCACCCCCCTTTTTCCGAGGTCTTGGACGGCCTGGCTCAATGTGCACACACGTGGGTTCCGTCTGGTCATTGGCCGCTCGGACTCGCGTTCCGCCCGCGGGTTATTACAGTGCCTTGCTGACCGTCTTGGCCTCGCTTCCGATTGCGGTTCGGCTGGGGCTTGGCGCCGCAAGGGCGATTTCTCCACCCCGTTCCGTTGCCGGTTGCCGCGTCTTTTGGCTCCCCACCAGCCGGATTGTCTGGGCCGGTCACCAGCAGACGCTGACATGCGTCTCAATGAGGGGCATTTTGTCCCTGGCATATGCATGTGCCGCTGCGTGTGTTGTCCGTTGGAATCCGCGGCGATCTCGCGCCAATTATCTACGTACCGCGCCCCGGACGTTGTGCTCGTTCCATGTCCTTCGCTTTGGAGCCGCGAACCAAAAAACTATCCCCACCAGCCCGTCCAGAATTGATCGCCAACTTTCCCGAGGCCTGTTGGAGGCTATCCTGAGCCATGCTCGGCTAGAGGCAGTCGGAAGCTATTCTGAGCCATGCTCGGCTATGTCGGGCCATATTCAGGCTGTCTTGAGGCCCCTTGGAGATCTGTCGGAGGCTATCTTGAGCCATACTTGGCTATCTTGGGCCATTTGGGAGGCCATCTTGGGCTATCTAGGGTTCTCTTGGAGCCATCTTGGGCCAAAAAGCGCGGGGTGGAGAGTCTTCAGGAGAGGCTGGGAGGCCTCTCGGGGCCGTCTTGGGCCCCATTGTTCAAAAAGAGCGGGGGTCCTCAATTCAGGTCCCCCCCTCGGAGGCTCTCAAACGGCGCCTTGGGGACGTGTTGGAGCGCTCTTTGGAAGCCTCTTGGGCGATCTTGGGGCCGTCTTGGGCCTTTTTGGGCCCCTCTTGGGGCTCTCTTGGGCCATCTTGGGGCCATCTTGATGCCTCAGGGGCCCATCGGAAGCGAAAAGACGAGAATGCCAAACACATTGACTTTCCTTAGGCTTTTGAAGGGTTTGGGCTTCTTGGAGGGCGCCGTGGAGGGCTCGAAGGGCACTTGGATCCGTCTTGAGGACTCTTGGAGGTGTGTCGGAGGCTATATTGACCCATCTTGAGGTATCTTGGGCCATCTTGGAGGCCATCTTGCGACTTGGAGCGCCTCTTGGAGCCATCTTGAGCCGTCTTGGACGCTCTAACGCCTCCATCCCCCCCCTCCAGGTCCAGGGGAAGGTTACCCCTCCCCCGAGCAGGGGAAGGAAGGGGAAGAGAGAAGACCAAACTCGTATACCACCGTAGCCCTAAAGGGCTGGTGGGACTTCCACCTATAGACTTCCAGCCTCCATCAGCTCAGCACTCCGACCTCTAGCGTCCGGCATCCGACTTTCCACCTTCACCTCCACTCAAGCGTCCACCAACGCTGCGCCCTGAGCCCCGCCCCGGGCGCTACCGCGCACTCGCCTCGCCTCGCCTCCGCTCGCACAATTCCCACACACCTCATTGAACAATTGTGTTCTCGCCCGCGCCCAGAAACATCGTAGGTGCAAGGATCAAGATTAGAAGGCGAAGAGCAACGAGCCTTAAAATCTTGTATCTGTATATATATATATATATATATACTATATATTCCTTCTACCTATCAAATTACAAGGAAAAACCCGGTATGTCACCGACACCCCCCCCCACATGGACCCCAGATGAACCCCACAGGCTCCCAAGAGAGCCCCACAATGCTTCGAGACGGCCCAAAATACCCCGAAGAGAGCGACACGAGGCCTACATCGGGAGCCCAAGACAGCAGAAGGCACTTCCGAGACGTCCTCTGCAAGGCCCAAGAGGCCCCAAGACGGCCCCAGAGTGCTCCAACAGGACCAAACATGGGCTCAAGACGGCCCAGGATGCCCCGCAAAGACCTCCAATACGGCCTCAGCAGGCCAAAAACCTTAATTTTCCATTGGTTTTTGAACGACTCTGTTCTTCTCGCCTTTTCTGGCCACGAACGGCCCAAGAATGGTCTGCGAGCTTCCGAGGTCGCCCCGAGATGACCTCCATGCGGCCCAATGGGGCCCCAAGATGGGCCAATAAAGCGCCAAGAAAGCCAGGGAGCGCCCAAAAGACCCCTGAAAGACCTCCAAGAGGGCTCCAACACAGCCACGGGATGCTTCAGAGAGGGCCCGAGAGAACCCCAACACGGCCCCAGGACGGCCCAAGCCCCCCCAGACAGCCCACGAGGGCCACAGGACAGCCCAAGAAGGCCCTCCGATGGTATACAAAAGCACCAACAGGAGCTCCACTCAGTCTTAGAGCCGTCAAATTCATTACACTCTGATTGACCTGAGCCGTCGTCCTTGGCTCGGCTGGCCCGCGCGCCGAATGGGCCCGCGGGGCAGAGAAGGAAAAGGAGCAGGAGGCGGGACGGAGGAGAAAAAGCAGGAAGAGGAAGGAACGGTGAGGATTGCGAGAAACAGGAGAGCCCCAGGAAGACGGAAGGAGGGCACGGAGGAGCAGGAGGGGGGAGGGCAAACGGCGGAAACAGAGGACAGCTTTCACTGGGCCCCGTGCTCTCGCCGAGGCGCCGGCCACATCTCTCATTCAATATCGTGTTGCCGCCTCGCTCGCGGGACTCCCAGCGTCTGCCAGGTCAGCATCCCGTCCTCCAGCATGCGGCCGCCGACTTCCCTCTCAATTCTTGACGCTTCGCGTATCCCCACCAGTTTCCGTAGCCTCTGGCTCAAGGGGGGGCGCCCAATGCCGCCCGGCGCGTCCGGCGGTCGCTCTCTGAGGATGCGCGTGTTCACCGATTCGACGTGAGACTCCACGGCTCAGGCGTCCCTGCTCATGCTTGGACGTGCACTTCTTCTTTCCAATGTGTGCTGCCTGGCCACTGCGGCGCGCCACTCTTTCGTCGGCGGCGTTGCGTCGTCCGACCTCGTGGAGGCGGTGGCCGGCGACGGCGACGACGCCTTCGGGGAGCCAGCCGTGGCCGTCGGCGGCGGCGGCGCCGCGTGGAGCGCGCCCTCCGTGCAGGCGGTGGCCAGCGACGACGGCGCCTTCGGGGACTCCGCCGTCGCCCCTGCCAGCGACTCCCAGCGGAACGCCTCCTCCGCCACGGCGGCGGCCCGCGACGACGGCACTTTCGGGGACTCCGTCGCCGCCGCTGCCAGCGGCGCAGCTCGGAGCGCCTCCTTCGCCCTGGCTGGAGACCCGTCAGCGCCTCGCGCGCCCGCGGCGGCCGACGGCGCAGGCGAGCCCGCTCGCTCCGCGGGAGGCGGCGCCGGCCAGGCGCCGCTGCGGCACCTTGCCGTCGGCGCCGCCAGCGCGCTGCTGCAGGCGGCCGTGTCGACGAGGGCGCACTTCGTGGACTTGCAGGAGCTGGCGAGCCACCCAGACCAGCTGCTCGCGGTGTGCTACGCGGTGCCCTGCGTGGTCTGGTTCATTGCCATGATCAGGGTTTCGTCGGCCCACCTCCGCGAGCAGTCGCGCAAGGCGGCGGCACACAAGGCCCAGCTAAAGGAATCGTTCGACGGCTTCTTGGGCGACATGGAGAGCCTCTTGGACCGGATGGTCGAGTCCTCCTCGCGCCTCGCGGAGCAGAACCTCGACGGCAAGCGCCGCGACTTCCAGAAGTTCCTCCAGGCCATCGCCAGAAGGCCCGCCGTGGTCTCTGGCGACCCAGACGCCGTGACGAACGAGCTGCGGAGGTTCGTGGGCTGCTGGCTGAAGGTCTTCGAGGAGTGCAGCAAGGACCCCGTCCACCGCCCGACCATCGTTGCCGGAGAGTGGGAGCTGGCCCGAACCGAGACGTGCCCGGACCTCTGCGCCCTGGTGCAGGAGCGCCTGGATAAGCATGAGCTGAACTTCATCGCGGGCATGGTGTCCTCGATCAAGGAGAACAAGAAGGTGGACAGCTTCAAGAACGAGGGGATGCCCCCGCAGGCAACGACGAAGGATCGGGGCTGCTTCGGCTGCTCCTGGTTCCAGCTCGGCTGCTGCCTGGGGTGCGGTTGCGGGCCCAGGCCTGGCGGCGGGGACCGGCCGAGCCTCAGCCTGGCGTGCTGCTTGTGCAGGACCACTTTCCTGTCGGTGAAGCACGTCATGGTCGTTGGCGCAGTGCTATGCGGTTTTGCTGTCATGGCTGTGCAGGCGCACGCGCGGAACCACCTCTGCGCGGCCGTGGTCGGCGTCGCGGAGCTCTGCGTCATGAGCGTGATGGTGCGCTTCGAGGACGTCGACGCCCTGGCCCGACTCCAGGCGGACGTCAACCAGCTTGAGCGCGAACATGAGGACGTCAGGCAGAGGTGCTCGAAGCTCAAGAAGTTCAGCGCTCAGATGCAGAACATCTCCACCCTTTGGCGCTACCGCACCGTCCCGCTGCTCGACCTCCTGAAGGAGCTCCACGAGCAGCTCTGGGACACGCCCGCGGGGGACCTGCTCGTGGTCCTCGGGGAGCTGAACGGCGGACTCGAGTGCGCGCTCGAGAGCGTCGGGCCGCTGACTCTGTACACAGGCCATAGCGAGCTGTCGGAGGACGTGATGAACATTATCTCCACCCGCCTCTACGCGGTCACGAATTTCATCAAGGAGAACAGTTCGCAGGCTCAGGCGGAGATCGCTCCGCACGTGGCTCGCCAGCTGCGGAACCTCTTCGCCTTTATCAACGTGCAGGTCGTGGCCGCCCACGACCTCGGCAGGAGTGACTGGTCCATCACTGGTGGGAGCTCCGACCCCTTCGTGCGGATGCGCGTCCGGGAGGACGCCGAGTGGCTGTGCACGGAGGTGGTCCTGAGCAACCTGAATCCGAGGTTCAACGAGGAGTTCTTGCTCGCGGCCAGCCCGGAGGACAGCGTAGTCACCCTGGAGGTCAGGGACTGGGACAAGTTCTCCAAGTCGGACAACCTGGGCCGCGCTGAGGTCAGGTTCCGTGACCTCAAGCCCGGGCAGTGGCACGCCCTTCGGGAACCGCTGCACCACAAGAAGAACTCGAAGGCCAAGGGCGAGATTGAGGTGAAGGTCCACTTCGCCACCACGGTGCCGCAGCTGGAGCGGGTGGCCCGCGATCTGCGCAGAGACAAGGACTCCCCCCGCAAGCCGCCGCGGGTGCCGCGGCCTGGAGCCGGAGGCAACAAGGCCCGCGGCTAGCCACGCCTGAGCGGGCCTGCTGTGTTCCTCTCCGGGGGGGCGAGGTAGGAGCACAGGGCGAATTCCCCTCCCCTCCCTCCCTCCCTCTTGCCCTCTCCCCCTCCCCTCCTCCCCTCCCTTCCCTCCCTCCCCTCCCTCCTCCCCTCCCCTCCCTCCCTCCTCCCCTCCCCTCCCTCCCTCCCTCCCTCCCCTCCCCTCCCCTCCCTCCCTCCCTCTTGCCCTCTCTCCCATGCTGTGCCGCTGACGTGACCCCGCTCACTGCCGCCTCCCACGGTTGGCCGTGCTTTGCCACCCTGTGGACAGCGATGCACGGTCTCGGCGTGCGACGGGCACTCGGTCTCCCCATCGTCGCTCCCGCGCGCAACCTCGTTGTGCGACCACTCCCTGGGACTCTGTGACCGTGAAGGGCTTGCTGACGTGGGTATACGGCAGTTTCTTCCTCTTCGAGCGCTTTCCTCGACCTGGCGTTGCGTGGGTTGCGAGGCGCTGGCTGTCACTTAGTCGTTTGGTGCACGCCCACTTCCGATTGACCGTGTGTCCCTCTGTTGGTGGGTACCCGTGTACTTCTGCACTGCAGCACACCGTATCTCTGGTCTCCTGCGTGCAGGCGCATCTCTCAGCAGTTGTTGTGAGGTTGTCTCAGTTGTCTTTGACCTCAGGCTCACCCTATCAGCCGCGGATGCGTTTTCTGAAGCTGCGACGGTTCGCTGGCGCTGTCAGAATCCCCCTCCTTGCTGGACGACGTCAGCTACGCTTTCGGTCTGCTCATACCCGACAGACTCCCTGGGCTGACTTTCTCGCACGGAGTCTGGTTCCCACTACCATGCGGTTCTCGGTTGTCACGACCATGACTGGGAACGTACGGCGCGCCATTTTGGCCGCGTCCGCTTTGCTTCCTGGGTGACTGACCCCTCAGACTCCCTGGGTTGCAGCTTGCACGACCGCCTGGCCTCTCAGACGCCCTGGGTTGCTGCTTGCCCCGCCGCCTGATCCGCGGCCCCCGCGCGCGCCCAGGAATTCGTCACGGCCGCAGCCCGACCGTGACTGCTCGCCGCCGGCGCTTCCGCCTGCGGCTGTATAAAAAAAAGTATCCCCACCAGCCTTCGTTCTGCACTGTGCCCTCGCCTGATCAGGCCTCTCCTCCGTTTGTGGGTCGGCTGGAGCTCGGCGCCGCAAGTGCGACTCTCCCCCCCGTTCCACCGCCGGTTACCGCGCCTCTGTGCCGGTCACCCGCTGACGCTGTCTGCGTTTCAATGAGGGGCATTTTGTTCCTTGCATGTGCATACGCCACTGCGGCCAATTTACATCGTACCGCGCCCCGGACGTTGTGCCCGCTCCCTGGGCTTCTCCTTGGAGCCGCGAACCAAAAAAGTATCCCCACCAGCCCGTCCAGAATTGATTGCCAGCTTTCCCGAGGCCTGTTGGAGGCTATCCTGAGCCATGCTCGGCTAGAGGCTGTCGGAAGTTATTCTGAGCCATGCTCGGCTATGTCGGGCCATATTCAGGCTGTCTTGAGGCCTCTTGGAGATCTGTCGGAGGCTATCTTGAGCCATGCTTGGCTATCTTGGGCCATTTTGGAGGCCATCTTGGGCTATCTAGGGCTCTCTTGGAGCCATCTTGGGCCAAAAAGGGCGGGGTGGAGAATCTTCAGGAGAGGCTGGGAGGCCTCTCGGGGCCGTCTTGGGCCCCATTGTTCAAAAAGAGCGGGGGTCCTCAATTCAGGTCCCCCCCTCGGAGGCTCTCAAACGGCGTCTTGGGGACGTGTTGGAGCGCTCTTTGGAAGCCTCTTGGGCGATCTTGGGGCCGTCTCGGGCCTTCTTGGGCCCCTCTTGGGGCTCTCTTGGGCCATCTCGGGGCCATCTTGATGCCTCAGGATCCCATCGGAAGCGAAAAGGCGAGAATGCCAAACACATTGATTTTCCTTAGGCTTTTGAAGGGTTTTGGCTTCTTGGAGGGCGCCGTGGAGGGCTCGAAGGGCACTTGGATCCGTCTTGAGGACTCTTGGAGGTGTGTCGGAGGCTATCTTGACCCATCTTGAGGTATCTTGGGCCATCTTGGAGGCCATCTTGCGACTTGGAGCGCCTCTTGGAGCCATCTTAAGCCATCTTGGACGCTCTAACGCCTCCATCCCCCACCCCTCCAGGTCCAGGGGAAGGTTACCCCTCCCCCGAGCAGGGGAAGGAAGGGGAAGAGAGAAGACCAAACTTGTTGAACCACCGTAGTCCTAAAGGGCTGGTGGGACTTCCACCTGTAGACTTCCAGCCTCCATCAGCTCAGCACTCCGACCTCTAGCGTCCGGCATCCGACTTTCCACCTTCACCTCCACTCAAGCGTCCACCAACGCTGCGCCCTGAGCCCCGCCCCGGGCACTACCGCGAACTCGCCTCGCCTCGCCTCCGCTCGCACAATTCCCACACACATCATTGAACAATTGTGTTCTCGCCCGCGCCCAGAAACAGCGTAGGTGCAAGGATCAAGATTAGAAGGCGAAGCGCAGCGAACCTTAAAATCTTGTACATATATATATGTATATATGCACACACCTCTTCCTATATGTTTACAAGCCGGGGGGGGGACCCCCCCCAAAAACCGAACTCCGGAGATCTGGGGTTTCTGGGCCCCCCGGACACAGTTGCCGAAGGTCCCCCGGCTTGTCCCGGGCCTCCTTGGCCCCGCAGCCGGGTCTTGCCAGCAGACCCCGAGCGATCAGAGCGGTGACCAGAGAGGCCGAAGAGAGAACCAAGACAGCACAGGAGCGCTCCAAGAAGGACCCACATGGCCTCCAGAGGCCCCCAAAATTGTGCAGGAGGCCCTCAACAGGACTCCCATGACGCAGAAATCGCTTCATTCCCTCAGCATCTTCACTGTTCGGGTTTTGCCAGCGTCCAAAACAGCCACAAAGGCCCCTGGTATCGCCCCAAGACGGCCCAAGAGACTCCCAAGAGAGCCTCCAGACGGCCTGGATGACCACAAGACTGTCCAAAGAAGCCCCAAAAGGGCCCCAAAAAGCCCAACAGGCCCTCACAAGGCCCCCATGACAAGCCCAAGAAGGCCATGGGAGGCTCCCGAATGGCCATGGGAGACCACCAGGAGGGCCCACGTAGTCTTCGTAAGGTCCCTAGCAGGCTCAAGCTCCCCAACACGGCCCAAGATGGCTCCAGGACGGCTCGACGGGACCCCCACCGGCCCACCAGGGCTCCGTCAATGCCCACAGGGCTTGTTCGACAAACTGACCCGAATCCCGGGTTCGCAACCACATTTCCCGAACTTCTGCTGCGAACCCTGGATTCGGTCCATTTCCTCACGGATTACATAAGTTTGCGTGTCCCGTTGCGACACCCTGCAACATGACATCCTCGGCTTGGCATTGCTGTTGTACTTTGAAGCCGTAGCCGTTGGCTTACTCTTCTTGGCGCCCGCACACGCCACATCCCCCATGACTGTATTCAGTTGTTCTGATTGAAGCTGTGCAAACGGGTCGGCGGCGGTCACAAGAGACCCCCATGACGGTCCAAGATGGCCCCCAGCGGCCTCGGACCCCCGCCAGACGCCCGAAGATGGCCCAAATATCACCCCCCAAAGGCTTTCGAAACACAGAGCAAATTATTCCCCATGGGCTTGTAAATGCTTTTGGGCTACTGCACCGATCCGAAAGTTTCCCCAATTTCGCCACCGTGCTCGCCGGGGCCATCTGGGATGGCGCGCGCAGGAAAAGGCTCGCGGGGCCTGAGGGCGGATGGGGGCGATTTCGCGCGGGCAGAGTCGGCGCGCCGATGGGCAGCCCAGCACCCCGTTTGGCCGGAGGGGCCCGGTACAATGCAATGGCAGAGCCTAACCCCGCCCGGGGTCGCAGGATCGGTTCCCGTTCCTAATTAAAATTTTTTAATCCCAAACGGTGTACTGACCAGAAGATGAGCAAACGGCATCGAACTTCCTCGAACAAAGCTTTCGGGTTCGGTCATGCGACGACCCGAAATTTTTTTCGACCTATATGAAAGTGGCCAAATCAATGGGACGTGTGCCAAAAAAATCGGGCCCACTTCAAACGACCCGAAGATGTGCGAACCGCCTAGGACTTTTCGCAAAAAACATCGATCTCGAGGTCTTCGGGTCCACTCCGAAGAAACCGAACATGGGCAAACCGCCTAGAACATCCTATGGCAAACGGTTTCTCGGTCGTTCCGGGTCTCGGGCCGACCGTTCAGGACTTCCTGCACAAGAAACGGCTTCCCGGGTGAACCACTGTCAAACGGGAGCGCGCCCCGCGCGGGATCGGGGTTCGCGCGGGGGCGCGGCTGCTCGCGCCTGTCCAGGAGGCACGCGTTGCCGCGCCCTTCCAGCATAGCGTTTGCTCTGCATTCGCGCGGCGCCGTGCCTCTCAAATCGGAATAAATTTTCGGAGCGCCGATGTATTCGGTATTCGCCTCGGAGGAGCCTCCGCAAACAAATCTGAGGAGGACGGGAAAGGGTTCGCGGGACCATGAAGGCGAGAACGGGGAAGAGGAAGAGGAAGAGGAAGAGGAACAGGACATCTGAGGGAAGGAGAAGGAACGACAAGATGATAACGGTGATGGCGAAAACTGTTCCTAAGAACGTTCGCTGTTTTGATTGATCTACCCTCTCTGTCTCATGTCGCCTGCAAGTTAGAGGTGCAGGACCAAGGTGCATGGCGCGAAGCGCCAATGCAGTCTTGTATGTATGTATATATATATATATATATATATATATATATATATCTATCTATATGTATGTGTACGCGTGTCGGGCGAGTCGCTGCCGTACCCTGCCTTTTGACAACGCCTGGATGACCCAACAATGAATTTGATCTTGGGCAAGCTTGCGGCATGTGTCTTCCCCCAGCCTTTGCGAGAACAGCCGTGCGATCATCGAGGGGGCATAAAATACATATTCCGGTGACAAGGGCCTCTTGAGCCGTCGCTGGTGCGTTTGAGGCCCACCGAGACCATCTCTTGGGTCCCTGGGCTGCCTTGGCGCTATCTGGGGCCATCTTGATGCGGTCTTGGGACCTATTGGGAGGCTCCTTGGTCTATCTCGGGGGCCTCTTTGGGCCGTCTTCGCGGCCTCTTGGGGCCTTGTTGAGCCTGCTTTTAGAGCCTTTCAAGGCGCCCGTGGCAGTGCTGGTCGCCTCTTCGTCAGCATCGGGGCCATTCAAGAGCCGTCAAGGGGTGGCCCAAAGATTGTCTGAGGGTCTCCAGGATACCGTCTACGTCGTTCGGGGGCGGCATGCTCTGACAATGCCGCCTCCTAACTTGCCTGCCAGAGAGCAACGCAGGATCCTCCAGGGAAAACAAATTTGTTATCAAACGTTGCTGACCGCACTTGCGTCCTTGCGCAATCTCACGTGCAAGTCTAGGGTGGCAGTTTTGAAGTGCCCAGAGTGGACGGAAGCGTTTGGGGTCTGTGACAGGCCGTCTGTCGGGGAATTCAAGACAGTGTTAGGGTGTCCATTGCCGTGGCATCCACAAGCGTTGTCACTTTTCGCGAGAGGCAACTCTCCGAATGCGAAAGCCCACCCCCGCCCCCAGTCCCGACGCCCATCCCCGAGCCGGCGATTCAAGGGGCCGGGACTGGGGGTGGGGGTGGGATTTCTCCATTTCTGGACCCCGAAAACCCACCCCTACCCCCAGTCCAGACTCCTTGAATCGTGGGTTCGGGGATGGAGTCGGGACTGGGGGTGGGGGTGGGTTTTCGCCTTCTCAAACTCTCCAGCAGCCCGCGCAGGGCGCGCTCTGGCGCACGCTGGCCGACCGACCCACCTGGGCAGCCGCCGGGTCGTTCTCAGGGGCGTCCAGGAACCGGCTGGGTGGACATGTGGGGCCGTCACGGGGGCCACTCGGGGAGGTCTTGGCGACGCACGGGGGTGGTCGTGGGGAGTCGTGGGGCCGTCTTGGGCTGTTTTGGGGCCGTCCGAGGGTCTATGGGATGCCTCTGGGATGCCGTTTCGGGGGAAGGCCTCTTCTGAAGGAGGTGCGCAGGCTGTCATCTAGGACCCTCGAGGGTGGTCAATGTTTTGGGCATCCTGGTCGACTGCTGGATTGGAAGCGTCTGGGGGGCACGTCGGTGCCCGTGGAAAATTTGTCCAGGATGTTTGGGCTGTCGATTAGGCGTTGCTCCGCATCTTCCTCCTCCGACATCGCGTGTACGAGTATTTTCGCGAAGTCGGCTCAGTCTCATCTGTGGCGGCGACGGTGAAGCTTATTCCGGACTAACATAGCCTGGCGGAGGCGTCCGATGATAACCCTTCTTCCAGGTCGACCTGAGCAGGCTTCCCTTGCAAAAGACCATGGAGGGAGCGTGCCAGCGGTTGATTTCCAGGTCGGACTTGGAAATTGCAAGGTTGATGGAAACTTGCCGAGCCCCCCCCCTGCGTATAGTCGAGGCGGATTGGCAGGTCGACCCTGCCAAATCAAGGGTGCCCTTGCGTTCCGTGTCTGGCGACCCATGTCCTCTACACTACTACGGCAATGTGGCCATCGGAAGGGTCTCGTGTCCTCTCGCGTGTCCTCTCCAATCAACCTCGACTGTATGGAATTATACTTATCACCCACCAGACCACCCCAACCCAACCCGATTTTGCCCTCCATCTCCAGTGGGTGGGGTCGGGGAACATGTGACAAAAGCACACGGAACCCGTACCCCCCCCCCCCCCCCGAAGTTCGGGCCAAGCTCGGGTCCTCGGGTTGGGTTGGGGTGGTCTGGTAGGCAGTCGTATGCACTTTGGTCGAGTTTCCGATCTGCACCGCGCTCTGCCACCACGCTGAGACGAGGGGGGCCCGCGGCCCCCGAAGCGGCTGCGGCCCACCGCGCCGCTGGCGTGCCCCGTGGCACTGTGCGGGCCCCCCCCGCTCTGCGCTTCGAGCGGGGGCGTCGTGCACCGGGATCGTGCCTGCTCCGGGCCGCCCGCCCACGACGCGGGTGCACGGCGGTGCCTCGCGTCGGCGCTGTCTTGCGGAGGACGATCAGTGGAGAAGAGGCGTGCTGCCAGATACTTCCCAGATGTCGAAAACATGTCTCAAAGATGTTGTAAGCATGCTTGAGACATGTTTAGAACATGTTTCCTACATGCTAAGCACATTCGAAATTCAGCGATAGGACCGTCAGGGTGTCCCGCGCTGTGGCATCCACAAGCTTTGCCGCGCGTGCATGCGTTTCGCGAGCGGCCAGTCCGTGTATTGACGCTGGCATGTGCGCCGCGTGCACCATCATGCATGTCCAGGCGCACGAGGAGGATGAGGAGAAGGGCCTTTCTCTCTCATCTTGCCCCCTCCTGTCCCGCCCACCGCCGTAGCGTGTCGCGAGAAGCGTTTGTGGAAGTTGTCGGGCACAATTTCAGAGATGTAAGACGATGCTGAGTGTGCGCGAGTGGGCCGGTTGCAGGGAAGTAGCGCCTTTACTGTTCCTTCGGCCCTCAGAGTTGCAATCTGCCGCTCGCAGGTAACCCTCCGTTCGAGTCCGCGACCCCAATGCAGATCTACGCCAAGGCTATCGCGACGATGTCTTTTTATATGCAATGCCAAGATGATTGCGGTGATGACCATGGTGGCCGATGCTATAACATTCCTGACGGTGATGATGATGATGGTGATGGTGGTGATGTTGATGATGCGCAGGATGAGTGCCCGTGTATTCCAGTGCGCCGTAGCATGCGCGTAGAAGCAACATATCGTGGGCCTTGTAGCCAGCTCAATGGCACATTGGGGGAACTCGCAAGGCGGACGATGCATTGTCTCACGCCGCGTTCTAAGGATATCCTTCTGCCTCCTGCAATCCCGCCACCGTGCCAGCGCAGCATTTTGGGTGGCAGCTGCCCCCAGGGAGACGCCACGAGGCCGTGAGCGCCCAGGGACCTTTGGGAGGAGGGGTGGTGCACGCAAGATGGGGGCGACGTGAGGGGTGGGTGGGGCCTTTCGAAGACCACAAAAACCCTGCCAGGCAGCACTTGGCATCCTTCCACGCCTCAGCTTGCCAGGAGGCACGGTGGCGGATGACGGGAAGCACTTCTGGAAGGCCCTGGCTCGAGCGATTGTGGCGTTTTTTCTCGTGTCAGCGGGGTCGCAAGCCCCCGCGCAGCATGATTTTCAGTCGATGGCGGGACATGTTGTGTTTCGCTTTTCTTCTTATCGCCATCGCTAGCCGAGATATCCAACGCTGGAGGGCCGAGCGTTCGGTGGCGGCACGACCACCGTGGAGCTCCGTTTCGTCGGATGTCATTCATGGCGGGAGCGAGCCAGTGCACATCATGAGGAGCTATCACCGAGCCAGCCGGCCCCTGGCCGCCAGGGGGTGGCCATGGGTCAGGGCCCTTTTTTTCGGAAAGCCAGGACGCTGTGGTAAAGCTAAGCTCAGTGGGTCCATCTTACGGTGTGACACAAACGAACGGATGGGCTCTGGCGCACGGGTCGGTTTCTAATGTTTCCTGCCGCGTGGGGCAATGTACTCACTACGGTGGTGCCCCGGTACGGACGTTTGGCTCGAGGCCTTTGCAGATGGTTTCTACTATTGTTCCCGCTGTGACTGTACCTGCTGAGCGGCGCCTGTCGGCGCGTACTAAGTGCTTCCTCGACGCCGTGGATCTCCAGACCATTTCACGAGCGAGGTCTACACTGTATCGGAAGGCACGCATCGCGTTCACAAGGTGGCAGATATGGGACACTTACTCGTCTCGGTGGTGCGGCTTCAATTCGGTCAACCTGCGCTGGTTCACGGCGGACTACGGCTCGCAGCTCAGTGATCTCAGGGGGCGCGTGAGCGGACAGTTGATTCCGTGGGCTACGGCGACCCGCAACATCCCACGCCCCAGCCGTGCCAAGTGATGCACCGACTGCACCGACCATCATGTTGTTCAGTTTTGTGTTTTTTTCCAACCCCTGTGCTTATCTTCTCTGCCTCAATTCCTAGGCCCGCTGCTTGGTGACTTTGAGATTGGCTCGGCCTGCAGCCGCAGGCAGGCGGTCGACCTGACTGTCTGCCGCCTCTCCGTATCCCACGTCGAGCGTTGCCGACTTTGCATCTGCTGGTAAGGGCGGTTCTTGTGGCACTGTACCGTGCTTACCCTGCACGCTGCGCGTTGCACCGTTTGATCCCACGGCCTGCCACCAGCGCTCGGCCAGAGGGCCGCGTTCTGTCGTGCGGGCCTTCCACCAGTGGGTGGTAGCCTCGTATGTGACGTCTGCGGACGCGCACGCGCGCCAGTCGGTCCTCCGGCTGGCTACGCGGGAACTCGCGAGACCTCTTAGAGTGGGGTTGCGTCTTCAAAAAAAAACTTCTGGCGTGGACCGTTCGTTCTTGACTGAAGCGTTCTTTGTGATGGGAAGCGCGCTCAGACTCGAAGAGTCGCGCGATGGAGGTTGGTCACGGGCTTGGAGGGGGAATTATTTCTCAAGTGGAGGGGCCCAAGGAAGAAGTTGTTGCGGGGGCGCCTTTCAGGACTCTCGTGGCGGATGATGGGAGGCGCGAGGCGCGCTTCGATTCGAAGTATCTGGGACGGTGCATCCGGGCCTGGAGGGGGAACCATTCACAAGTGGGGGGGTCCGGGGAAGGAGCGGTGGCGGGATATCTCCTCCGCGGCGACGTTGAGGACGACGGGGCGCGTGCATCGAGTCGAAGCGTCGCGCGATGGACGTCGCATATTCGCCTGGATGGGGAAATCTTTATGAAACGGGGGGCCCAGGGGGTGAGTGGTGGCGGAATTCTTCCTCCGCAGCGACGTGGCGAATGACGGAAGCCGCGCCTAGATAGACTCGAAGTGTCGCGCGATGGACGTTGCGTCCAGGCGCGGAGGGGTATTTTTTTGAAGTGGGGGTGGGGTCCAGAGGGGTAGTCCGCGGCGACGTGGCGGATGACGGAAACCGCGCTTAGACTCGAAGAGTCGCTCGATCGACGTTGCGTGCGGGCTGGGATGGGAAGTTGTTATCCAGTGGGGGGGTCCAGGGAGGGGGGGGCGGAGTGGCTCCTCCGTGGCGCCGTGGCGGATGACGGTCGGCGCGCTTAGACTCGAAGAGTCGCGCGATGGACGTTGTACACTGGCCTGGAGGGGAAAACATTATCAAGCGGGGGGGTCCAGGGGGGGAGTGGTGGCGGGGTTTCTTCAAGGCGACGTGGCGGATGACGACAATGAGCGTGCCGCCGGAGACATCTTCGCCGAATCGCGATCTTGGGCCTTCGGGCCACGGGCAGCCGATCGGACAAAGTCGGTGCTCCCACCGAGGGTTCAACGGCTCGTGCTTCTGAAGGCCGTCCCGCATGTGCGAAGGATCGCGAGGGGCTTTGGACATCTGGAGTCTCGATCTTTTTGAAACACGCCAGTCTTCTCGACCCCTTCCCCAAGGCCAGTTGATGCAACGGCTCGTGGTTCCGAATGCCGTCCAAGGTGCGTGGGATCGCGAGCCCCAGACATTTGGTGCTTCAATATTTTTGAGGCACGGCCCCCAGATGTTTCGACCCCTTCCCAGGGGCTGCCCCAGTCGTCGAAAATGGAGAAGGACCAGCCGTCTCGATTTTTTTGAGCCGCTTGATGTAGGACAGGGGCTGCCGAATCGGAAGTCCGCCTGCGCAAGGGAAGCGGCGGAACCGGGACCCGACCGCACTCGGACCCGGCTGAACTCGGACGCGTGTGGCCCGGTCGGACTCAGACCGGGGACGCCGCCTTTTCTCGGAGCGGCAGGAGTCGCACCGGGCTGAATTCAGACCTGGCTGAATTCGGACCCAGCTGGGCCGCGCACTTTTAGGAGGACCAGGGGCCGTGTCCTTTGTGGAATTGCTTTGTTGGAGATTCATACAGAGCCATAGCAGCAGACGTCGTGCTTGCCGACGATTTGAATGCGTTTCAGGAATTGAGCCGTTTTTTTTTTTTTTTTTTTTTTTTTTTTTTTTTTTTTTTTTAAAAAAAAACATATATATATATATAGAAATAAAAAACATCGATGGATGAGAATCTCTTGGACCTTCGGACCCAGTTGAACTCGGACCTGGCTGAGTTCGAAGCTGGTTTGGCCCACACTCTGACCGGAAGACCGCGCGCTGGTGCTCGGCTGAAGTCGCAGCCAACTGGGCCCGCGCACAGACTAGGGCAGCCCAGAAATTGCGCTGCTCTGATGGGCCTGTTTTCCACCACCGCCATAAGTTGGAGGGGGGAAGGAGGAAAAGGACGAGGAGAGGAGGAGGAGGACGAGGAGGAGGAGGAGGAGGAGGAGGTGGAGGACGAGGAGGAGGAGGTGGAGGAAGAGGTGGAGGAGAGGAGGTGAAGGAGGAGAGGAGGTGGAGGAGGAGAGGAGGGGAGGAGGAGGACCCCCTCCCCTTCCAACTTATGGTGGTGGTGGTGGTGGAAAACTGGCCCACCATGCTCTCCGTCCAGCCGAACTCGAGCCCAGCGGACTTCGGCGGAGGGGCCCGGCGGACTTCGGACTGCGTGGCTGAACTCGGGTCTGGCTGAGCATTGGGATTCGGCTAATGTTAAGCCGGGCGTGTTCCCCTACAGGAGGAATAGTCAAAAGTTGTTTCAAATATAGTCTGGGTACGATATGTTCGATCATTTTCTGAGTATTTGGGATTGTTTTTTGGGGTCCAGAATCCGCCTGTAGGGAGACATGCCCGACCTAAGGCTAAGGGCGGGGAGCTTCTCATAAGGCGGTGGAATTATTATAGAAGGCAGTGGCCTTCTAGAAGCGCTGGGAGCTTCTACGATGTGGCCTCGGCGGGCGGTGGATCTATGCATACGTTCGGGCCACGTGGGGGGCAATCGGTCGTTCCCCCAGGCGGTGGATGGATACGCCCCCACCTCGAACCTTCTCCCCTTCCTGCGAGCGCCCCGATTCTACATCTCTCCCTCCATCTCCGCGGTGGTGCTCGGCCCTCTTGCCGCACACCGTGCCTCAGACGATGCTAGATGCCGTTCGGCAGGTGACCAAGGGCATCGGGAAGGTGACCTTCCCGACGAAGTGCCAGGAGCGTGGCGACGCGAGCAGGGAGGATGACGGTGAAGAGGAGGAGCAGGGGGAGATCGAGGAGCTCACTGCAGTCTCCTGGAACAGACCTCGAGAGGCAGCAGGGGGCAGACCACGTCCGCTGCGAAGCGCACTTTCTCAGCACACTTTGTTCGCACCCAACACTGCAGGTATGAGTTCGGGCTTGCCAAGCACAGCTTTCGGACATCAAAACAAGACTAGCTCTTTGTCAGACGCACTGTTGCACGCGTCAGGGAACTGGAGGATGAACAGGAAGAGGAGGGAAATCAGGAGCATGAGGAGTAACGGGGAGTCCGCACCAGGAAACGTTGGGAGCAGGTGGGGAAGGGGAGGGGACAAGGAGGACGAGGACGGTGATGATGATTATGATGATGATGATGATGATGATGATGATGATGATGATGATGATGATGATGATGATGATGATGATGATGATGATGATGATGATTCCGATGATGATTGCAATTATGATGATGCTGCTGATGATGATGATGATGATGATGATGATGATGATGTTGATGATGATAATGATGCTGTTGATGCGGCTGGCAATGATGGCCATGCCAATATGTTGTTGCTCCAGAGGGTGTTGTGAAGTACTGGTGATGGCGACGGTGATGGTGATGCTGATGGTGATGATGATGGTAATGATGTTGTTGGCGATGATGGCGATGATGGCAATGATGACGATGATGACGGCGACAATGATTACGATGGTGATGATGATGGAGGTGATGCTGATCATGACGATGACTTGACTTGTGCTGGCTATAGGCGGTGCCTTGAGCTCTTCAGTGATTGCTGTTGTGTCGAGAAAAACCCCAGCAGCACGAGGCGTGGTGCCTCTGCTCAAAGGGGAGAAAAACTCACACCAGAAGAAAGGGATCCCCTGTCATCACGGATGCTGACGCGAAAAAGCGTCTCGATATGAACCGTCTTCTACCTGTGTCGTCGGACCTTCGCTGGGCGCTGGTGTCCGGAGGGGTCGCGCGGGCCAATTCCATGCTTGCGTGCGCCAGGGCCGCGCGAGGGCGGGGCTAGTGCGCACGCCCGGGTGTCGCCGCGAAGGTTAGCGGCCTTCTGCGCGATGCGGTCGCGCAAATCCGCAGCGGATATCTCCTCCGCGCTACACTCGGGCAGCTCTCTTGCGAGCATCGCGGCGCGACACGCTTTGGAAGAGAATTGTAAGTGGTGCAACGCCCAAGGGCGGGTGTGGTACCAAAGGCTGGGCACACTGATCCAATGCAGGAACTACGAGCAGTCATTTTCCTGCCGTGCTTGCGTCCCAAATGCGCGGCCAAGCCTTGCGGACCCTTGCACTGCTTGCCGCAGGCGGTGCAAGTGAGGAGAGGCTTGGCCGAGGCAGCTGGAGGGCGAGGGGTCTGCTTCCCCCTCAGCCTGCGCGTGGCCGGCGGGTCGGGCCGGTCAGGGATCCACCACTTCATCAGGGCGGCTTGGCCCTTCCAGCGCCGAGGGGATTCGACGATGTATGCCTTCCTCTTCTCCGGGTGGGCGGAGGGCGAGCCGAGCCTCTGCCCCACGTCGGGGAAAGCCACCGCGAACTGCTCGAGGTCGTAGAGCAGTATCTGCGCCGACGGGGGCTTCGGGAGAGCCTCGACCATCATCTGGACTACCTTTGGCGCTGCCATGAAGTGGGATGCGAGCTGGGAGAGCCTCCGAGCCCGGACCATCGACGCGAGGAGCGGGGCGTGCACCTTCTGCCTGACCTCCTCGTCGGTGGCCGTGTCAGGGGCCCCGTAGCGCATGTCGCCCGAGATTCTCCTGAGGACACGATGGTACTGGCCATTCATAATGGCCATGGCTTGAGGGTCGTCTCCACGCCAGGCTGATATGCCGTAGTGACTCTTCGAAAAAAAGCCAAGCTTGTAGCTAAAATCGATCGCGTGGAGCACCGTAGGGAGTTGCATCCAAAAATGTGCACCGCTAGGGGGGCGTAGGTTTGCTGGGCCTTGGACGTCTTTTGCTTGGCATCCAAGATATGCTGACCAGACGCTTGCAGCGTTGTGCCGAGGTGCGGGAAATCATGTAAAACTTCGAGCTCTAGTCCTGCAGGTGATCGATAGACCGACCGCCCCATGGAGTGGAAACGTGTCCTCCAGGTCGTACTGGAGCCCTGGCCGTACATCCGCGCCATGATCGCAGATTTCCCAGGTCCCACGTTGATCACGAAGCCGACCCTGCGGAACTCCTCGGTGATGATGTCCACTGCCGGGTCCATCTGGGCGAAAAACTCCTGAGGGGAGTCGGCCAGGAATTCGAATGTGACGTCGTCTACATATTGCTCGTCGTTGGGAGCGTGCTGCAAAGTGACGTGATCGGGGCTGCTGTCGAAATCAGTTGCCCAGGGCACGGAGGCGTGCGTGGACATTCTCGTACTGAGCTGGATGCCGCTCTCCGGGAATCTGTGCCGCGCTCGCTTGAGGGCCAGCTCGTCGGCTATGTTGAAGCACGCCGCGCCGAGCCGACAGCCCTCACGAGCGCCACGGTTTGCGGCGACCGCAGGACCCGGTCCACCTCGCACCTGGAACCACGTACTAGAGTGGAGTTCAGCAACCCTTGCGGTGGCGTGCTCGTCCGTGCCCGCCGCTCGGAGGAGCGAGGGGTTGTTCTGCACGTAGCGCTGGGTCTCGTCGGCCACGTCACGCGGGATGCCTAGATCATGCAGCTGGTCCGCAAGTGCGTGTAGCTGTCGGTGGCCAGCTCCGTAGAGGTACTCCCGGATGACGCTGTCAAAGGCTTTGGCCAGGTCGAAGAAGCGGATGGCCCAGCACTGGCGCATGTGGATCGCTCTTTCTACGAAGGCCTGCAATCCGACGGTCAGGAGAAGCGTGTCTCGTCCTGGGACTGCGCCACACTGCCCATCCCCTACTGCATCCAGCAGTACCTGGTAGACAGGGTCCGAGATCTGCATGGTGTAGAGCCTGGACAGGTGGTCGGAAACCAAGATGCCGCGATTCTGCGGGGCAAGAAGGTATCGCCTTTGAGCTTCCAGGTGTCGAAGATCTTGTCCCCCTTCATGCTGACTGGGAGCTGGCATCGAGAGGCAGAGAGGTCGAACAGCGGCAGTAACGCGTCGAGCGACGCCTCGTCGCCAGTACGCCATGCCGAGATGCCAATGCCATCGGGGCCCAACCATTTCTTGGGGTTCAGTCTCCGCATGTCCGCCTTGACGCGGGCGCGCTCCATGGATATCCCCTCGGGAGGCACTGGGACACTTGGGGGGTTGGCGAGCAACTGGTCCATGGAAATGACCTGTCCCGCAAACAGTTCGGCCCAATGACGGCGCCATCGGTCCAATATGTCTTGGGGGTCAAGTTGGCCATCTTCATGACGCACGGCACGGAGCGCACGCTGTCCCCGAGGTGCGCGAATATCACGCGTGATCTCGTAGAGGATCTTGTTATCGTGCCGGTCGTCTGCCCCCTGCGCCCCTTGCGGCGAGATGATCAGCCCGCTGCTGGCGATCGGCTCTTGACGCTGATCTTACCTGGTTGCGGTGGCGCACGGCTTTGCTGGATGTGACTGCGGTGGAGGCGGAGGCTCTCGCTATCCTTCGTGAGGGAGTGCTGCCAGGCCTGCAAGAAGTAACGGAGCTTCGCCTGCCTGGTGGCCCAGGTGGCCCTAACCTTCTGCTGACGAATCCGCGGTGTCTGCATGACCAACTGCCAGGTGGTCTGGGAGATCCATGACTTTCGCGCTACCTGCGTGGCCTCTGAGAAGAAGTGCGCCTCCTGCAGCCTCTGAACGACCCGGATGAGTTCGGCGTGATATACCTCGGTGCCCTCGGGGAGCAGCGCGTGTAGGGCAGGAGCTGCGTTTCGGAGATCGGCTGCAAAGGCGTCGCGCCGATCAGGATCGCGAAGTTTGAGATCGTCCAGACGCCGTTTTGGGGGTCCGCGAGGCAGTCGCTTGTCCCCCAGCATGCTCGCCCAGACCATGTGGTGGTCGTCCCTAGTGGTGAAGACTATGTGGTCCTGCTCCACTCCCGCGGTGACGGATTTCCGTTGCCACCAATCCGCGACTCATATATGGTCAGAGCGCTTCGGGAAGAGGGAGTTGCCGAACCACGTCGGCTCGGTGCAATCATGCCACTCTGCGACGTCTGTCAAGGCGAAGGCCTCCTTGAGTTCCGCGGAGAAGCAGCAATTGGCATTGCAGCCCTTGGCGCCGTCGTCGTCGTTAGCGTCGATGAATGCCAGGAGCTTGCTCGGATGGTTTACCTTGCCTAGTTCGGTTTCGAGCTCTGTCCAAAAAAGCCTGCCTCTCCTCATAGGGAGCCACCGCCGTTGGAGCATGGGCGCTGACGGCCGAGAAGGCCAACCCCAGCCTGGAAGATTCTAGGCGCATGATCCTGGCGCTCCTGGGATAGCATCTTTTGCCGGAGAGAAGATTTTGGAGGGACCTGTGAAGCCAGATCTGCGCGCCGCCCTGGCCGTCCGCGGTCGCCGAGGACGTGAAGGCGACGTAATGCGGGAGGTCGATGCACCAGTTGCCCTCGATGTGGCCCTCCTGGGCGCCCACGAGCTGGATGCCGCGCGCATGGAAGAAATCGTCCATGAAGAGGGTACGGGCCGAGCGTGCCTGCCCCAGTCGGTGCAGCTGCCGGGGTTCATGCGGATCCAGTGTCTGGACATTCGCCGTGGCGGTTTTGAAGTTCTCGATGTTCGTCTGGCCAGCTCGCTGGCGATGATAGTGCCACCGCTCGCGATTCAGCCGGCGTCGTGGTCGTTGCCCTCGCGAAAAGTTGCCGCTGATTTGGAGCGGATCGGGCCGTGGCTCGGGGGTGCGCTCTCCTCGCGAGGGGCTGGCCCGGCCGACCGCCCGCTCGAGGTCGGGCATGGCTGGCTGTCCCCCGAGGCCCGGAAGTACTTCAGCAGGGGTGCCTGGTAGGTCGGCACGGTCTGCTTGCCCTGCAGCCGCCACGGGGGGTCCCGAGGAGCGTCCTCCCCGAGGGCGGGCGG